CATGATAACGCGGCGTCATGCACTACATTTCGTCTGATCTCTTTGATTGTGCACACGTTTTTACCGCTGGACTTGGGTCGGATTCGGGCTGATACTGTAGTTTGGCAAATATCCGATACAGCAAATATCTGACCTTTTGATTACCGCCGACCAGTTGATGTTGTAATCAAGTCGACGCCACGGTCGCGGTGAGGAGGTCAGACCGCGATGAACCTTCTTGACCTGCTGCCGCCACCGTCGGACGATATTCTCGGCTTTCTAGATGACGCGCCATCCAGCGAGAGCTCGGCAGCGCTCGAGATCTCGCCAACGGGCCGTGCCAAGCGGCGGAAGCGCGTCCAGACCAAGACCGTGCTGGATGCACTGCGCAGTGAGCATGCGCATCTCGCTGCCGAGCTCGACCACCTCCAGCGCGTCTCCGCCCTTAAGGTCCAGGGCCTTTCCGATGTCGACGCGAAGTGGGAGCGCGTTGCCATGAACCAGAAAGCTCTCAAGCTCAAGGCGATGCGCGACAACGACGAGCTACGTGGGTACATTGCCGAACAGAACGAGTACCGCGACTACTTGGAGCGCATGCTGCTCAAGCGGCCACGCGCAATCACTGCCATTGTACGTCCTCTATATAGGAGTACGTCGAGGACGAGGTCATGTTCTAGATGGACAAGCTCGTCGACGAGCGCTGGCGGTCGCTCACCCTCCCCGCCGAGAGTGACGCGCGCGTCGCTGCCATCCACGCGATCGCAGACCGCCAGTATGAAATGGTCGAGACCGAAATGGTGACGAAAGGGCTCTTTGGCCCAATGCTGTCGGACCTCCTCGAGGTGAAGCTCGCGACCCACGACCCGCGATCGTGCACGGCCGAGGGTGTCCGGTACACGGTGCTGCAAGCTGCGATGGCGCATGTGCCCGACGTGGCCATGGGGGTGCTCGGGCGGCGCCAAGAGATTCTCGAGCGCGAGGCTGCGGCCCGCGACCGCCACTCGGCGGCGATCGATACGACCAAGCACGTGCAGATGCTGGATGCCGACACCATGTACACGCGGGAGCTCTTGACGCACCCGCGAGGCAAGGTGCAAGTGGCAACGAGCCTCGTCATCAAGCGCTTCGTCGAGCCGTCGACGGGCAACGTGTGCGTCGTGTGGCGCAGTGTGCTTCACGACGAGCTCTTGCCGCCGGCCGTTGGCAGCTTTGTGAATGACGAATACGGCTGGTGCGTCAAATGCCCTTTGAATTAGGCGTCTCAATATCGCAATAGGCTCTATTTCGAACAAAAAGACGAGGCGCACGTACACTACAAAGTCTTTCTGAGCTCGTCCGTGCCACACGTCTCTAGCAGCGTCGATCACCTGAGCGACCTCGTGCAAATGATCGACTTGGCCGAGCACGCGGCGCCACTCCGAAACACGAGTGACACGCTCGTCGACACGGTGCGCAACGCGTTCGTTCGCGCCACAACCCACTTTGAACATGAGATTCAGCTCATGGCCAAATAACTCATTTTGTAATATACTTTTTTCCTGTACAAGTACAAATGTACACAAACCTTTCGGTGTATGGGTAATACAAGCCATATGGACATTGATAGTAGTGATCGACCGAAGGTGGTTCACGTTATCTAGAACATAAGCACGTAGTTCTTGCTTATTGGACGTCTCGCGCGTTCTCTGTCGTAATCGAAGCCCGCTGCACAACGAGCGCTTCAAACTGCGCAACCATGGCCCGAAACGATGCTTGCACGGTCGCAGTCAAGTCGGCTTGACGTAGCGAATCAACTTTTGTCCCGACATAGAGCATCTGCATGAGATCGTCGAGCTTGTCTACGTCGGCGCTCTGCGGTGCGATTGGGTTGGCCACGCGGACATAGGCTGTGTACCGCGTCGTTTCTGCGTCGTCTTGGCGCAGCTGAATCCTAATGTACATAGTCGTAGCAGAAGAACATGGGTGTTCATGCATTTGATCGCACCAGCCGTGCTCGTCGTTGACAAAAGACGCTGGAATGCGCGGGACGCCTTCATCCTCTAGCACACTGCGCCACACGATCGTCACGACACCGTGCTGCTCGTACGTCTTTGTGATCATGCTTGACGTCACAACGAGAGCACCCGGTGGCGCGTACACGCTGCGAACATACGTCGTGCGGTCGTCAATGCGGTGCATGTCGTGGGACGTGTGCCCGTGCGGCGCATAGATGTCGCCATCTTGCGCGGATGAAGCCATTGCGTGGCGCTCCCGCATGAGCTCGATCGCGACAGCGGCAGCACGCGTCATGGGGACGGGCAGCGTCGTGTAGCGCATTGCCTCGGATGTCATTGTACAGTCCGAGAGGCTTGTGAATACGTTGAATACATCTTCCGATGGCTCGAAGAGGCCTTTCGCAAGCATCTCGGACTCGAGGAGCTCGTACTGCCGGTCCGCGATGGCATTGATGGCCGATACGCGAGCCTCGGCCGTCGCTCCGAGAGCATAACGGCGCCATTTTGAGTCTTCGACCTTGAGCATCTACGAAAGAGCGCGCTTGTGCACATGCGCAAAAAGAGGGCAACGGACCATGCTGCGCGGACGCTTGAGAAGCGCCCTCTCGAGAAAGGCGCGGAATGCATGTTGCTCGGCCAGCAGCGCGCGCAGCTCGGCCTGCTCCGTGAGCGCTCGGTCTTTGAGCGCCTTCTGCTTCAATGCGAGGCGACCGTACGGCGACGCTTCCTTGGGGCAGCCGCGCTGGGCGCGCAAGGCCGCGACGCAGCTGCTCAGCTCGGCGGCTTGGCCGCGCAGCGCCACGAGGTCGACGGCCAAGCGATTGACCCGCCGGCGTTTCCGGGGCGCGGCTACATCAAGGAAGGCGAGCGAGCCAACGTCTGCTGCGGGCAGCAAGTCGAGGAGGTCGAGGTCCGCTAGGTCGTCGCTGTCCATGGGCGCGACGTCGCTTGGCTTGGATTTTATTTCCCACGCACAAAACACATTTCTCACCCGAAACGGCCTGTGCAAAACTCGACGAAAAGATCATCGCTCTGCCTATTGACGTACATTCCTATAGAACGCAAACGATTGTTGTCGCAGCCAGGCGCATGCATGGAAGCGCCGACGATGGAGCTCAGCGTCGACGAGGTCCTCGACTGGCTGCCGCCCGCCGACGAAGAGTCGTTGGCCTTTCTTGACGACGTGCTGCCGCTGGCCAAGCCCAAGACAAAGCCCAAGCGCGTGCGTATCAACCGAATGGCGGCCGAGCTGCTCGAGCTCCGCGGGGCCCAAAGCCATCTTGAGGACGAGGTAGCGCAGTTGCGCGCCCGCCGCAGCTGCAAGGCTTCGTCCAAGTGGCAAAACCTGGCAATTGCACAGAACGCGCTGAAGCTAAAGGCGCTGCGCGAGAACGACGAGCTGCGCGCTGCGCTGACAGAGCAGACGGCCTTCCGCGAGTACCTCGAGCGCGCATTTCGGAGGCTGCCGTGGTCACTGCACGTACGTTTGTGTAGTCTCGCATGACGATAGTGTAATTGCGCGCGTAGAAGCAATTGCAAGACACCAAGTGGCGCGACCTGACGCTGGACGCCAATGCCGGCGAGCGCATCGCAGCCATCCACGCCATTGCCGACCGCCAGTACGCGCTTCTCGAGTCGGAGATGATCGCCGCTGGCCTTCTCGAGTCGGACGGCGACGACATTTTGGACTTTCGCACCACTTTGATGCAAGGCCGCGTTGTCTCCGAAGGAAGTCGCTCGTGCACGTTCCAGGCTGACGTGGCGACGATTGCGGCCGCCGCGCATCAGACGATTCTCGACCGGCGACGCCTCACCGCCTTCCACGGCGACCATACCACCTTCCACGTCGACGACGACACGACGTACATGCGAGACGAGCTTGTGCATCCTAATGGCGTCATCAAGGTCGTCTCGGGCATGATCACCAAGCGCTACGTCAACCCAACGTCGGGCGCCATTGCCATCGTCTGGCGCAGTGTCCTCCATGACGAAGCAGGACCGATCGAGTCGGACGTCTTTACAAACAACGAACACGGCTGGTTAAAACCCATTGACATCCTGTCCCAATGGTCTCATCCGCTATGAATAGGGTCGAGTACTCACCGTGCAGCGACGGTATGACACGGTACAAAGCGTACTTGCGCGCGGCGAGTCCAACGCCCGTGGACGAACTCGACACGCTGAGCAGCCTCGTCGACATGCTGCGCATTGACGCCGCCCATCGGTCGACGGATGCGACGATTGACGGCATCACAGATACCATTTCCAAGACATTTGCGAGCCTCTTTACTCAATTTGAGCAAGAGGTGCACGCCAAGTGCGCAGTCCAGGAGCTTAACTTAAGTAGCTGACGCTCCTTCTCGCCTCAACATGCAATGTCCTCGTATCTCCTCGCGATAGAAAGTGCACTCGGCCGAATCTCGGTCTTGCAGTCAGTGTGAGCTGTCCCTGCGAAGGGTACATGTACGCCAGGTCCAGTACACCTGCCTTACCGGATACGACAGAGAATATCCGGATAGGCGCTTCATTTTGGGCATGACACGTTGGAATACCGGCGAGATGGAGCTCCTGGACATGCTGCCGGTCGACGACAGCGCGCTGGCCTTCCTCGACGACGTGCCACCTCCAAAGGCACCAAAACGCGTGCGCAAGAAGACATTGGCGCGTGACGTGGCAGCTCTGCAGGACGAGGAGGCGTCTCTGCAGGTCCTGCTCTGTCGCCTGCAAAGCCGCCACAGTGCCAAGGCATTGTCGTTCTGGGGCCGCCATGCAATGGGCCAGCACGCACAGCTGTTGCGAGCTCGACATACCAACGCAGTGCTGCGCGAGCTTCTGACAGAGCAGCGCGTCGCCCGCGCCCATCTCGAGAACGCGCTACGGACGTGGCCAACAGTACCCTTTCGACATTTAATTTGCCTGACATTCCCAATCGCCTATAGATGCTCGATGCGCAACGTCCATTCTTGGCCTTGTGTGCGGACGCTGCGCCGCGGGTACGCGCGATGCACGCCATCGCCGATCGCCAGTTTGACGTCGTCGAATCCGAGATGATTGCGACAGGGCTGCTCGAGCCCGACACGGACGTCTTTCGCATTGAGCTCCTCTCGGATGCCCACCAACTGAGCTCACAAGGCGCGCGCTACACAACGTTTCCAGACATGAGCCTCGCGGCCGTCGACGTAGCGATCCTGGAGGTGCTACGGCACCGCAGCACACTCGTCGAGGGCGGGTCCGTCACGGACGCACGAGCGAGTGTCATTGACGCCACGACGCTGTATACGCTCGAGGTCGTTTCCAACGCTTCAGTCCACGTCACGACGCGCATGCTTGTCAAGCGCTACTGCTTCGACGGTCGCATTACCTATGTGTGGCGCAGTGTCCTAGACGACGAGGCCCATCCGGTCGACGGCTACGTCAACGACGAGCACGGCTGGTACATTTGATTCTAGTTTGTAGTACATACAGCGTGTATTAGGATCTGCATCGAGGCCAACGGGTCCGACGTTGTGTACCGAGCGTATTTGAAAGCAGCGAGCCCCCGGCCAGCACCCGATGGTCTCGCGGGCATTGAAACGCTCTTGCGGCAACTCGACGTCGACAAAAGTGACGCCCATGCAAGCTTGGATGCGCTCATACAAAGTACGTTTACGACGCTCTTTCGCCGTCTCGAAGCCAGCATTCTCGAACGCGCCGCAAGCCAAAGACGAGCGCCAGAGCCTATATAATTCGTCTCATCTAATGCACTCGTATTCCGGAGCTGCCTCTACATTTGTAGTCGTGGCTGGTGGTTGAACCGTTTGGCACTGGCGGTTGCATTGCGTCGGGTCGTTACACATTTAAACGTCGGCATCAATGGGCGCGCCTGTGGTCGCCGCCGTCGTTGCGGCGACGCTCAGCGTCGTCGTGCTCGGCCAAACTGGCCGGGCCACGGGCAAGCCCGACAAACGTGTCGAGGCACTCAACCTCTCGAATGCGTTTTCGTGCGCCGGCGGCCCGACCCTCTGTCCAGACACAGGTACGTTCAAGTCGGCGGGCGGCAACCTCACCGTCACAGTCATCGAGATGCGCAATTTGCCCAACCTCGACGGCTTTGGCGCCGCGGGCGGACTCACAGACGCCTTTATCCGAGTCGCATTTGGCTCAAATTCGCGCGACTCGTCGTTCGTCCGCAACAACCTCAACCCGAGCTGGGCGCCGTGTCGGACATTGGGGTGCCTCGGGTACAAAGACACCATCCGCGACCTCTCGTTTGGGTACCGGTACGCGGGCGAAGGGTTCACGCTTCAAGCTTGGGACAAGGACGACGGCCTCGAGTTTGCCGACGACTTTATTGGTGGCCTCAACCTCAACGTCATTTATTGTACAGCACTGACGGCATACAAGCAAAAGACACCGAACGCTGGCATGGACTCGTCGTTTGCGATGCCACTGCAGCCAGTTTGTGTCGAAGAGGTTTGGCTGCCACTCGCGCCTGGGGAGTGCATTGTCAACGGCACCTTGAGTACAACGCTCCCGTGCCTTCGCCTGCGCCAAACCGTCGTGCCCTTCCAAGTGCAAATCGAAGAGACATATGCAACGACGCGTGTCGCCACGATGGCCATGGGTCTGGGCGGCTACTATGGCGACGCCACGTCGACGATCTATGGCCGTGTCTGGACACCGGGGAACCAGCGACTTCAGCCGTACTACAAAATGGCCAAATCCCAAGGTGGTGTCCTCGTCCGCATGGACAACAACCCGGGCATGAACAACGACTACGGCAACGCGTCGCTAGCAGGACAGTATGGGTTCCCGCCCCTCGGACGCTTCAGCATCAACTTTCCGTCGGCCATGTACGTGTTTCGACGGCAAACCGACGTCGACGCCGACAAAAAGTACGGGACGCTCTCGTGGCTCACGTCCGAGTTTGGTTACGTGGACGCAGAAGAGTCGGCGCAGATTGTCAACATCGCCGACGACTTTGTCGCTATGACGCGCAACGTGTCGGCGACGCCCGTAAACATGTACGGCGACGCGCTGGGCGGCGGTATCGTCGTCGGACCCAACATCCAGGCGTCCAACCGTGACATTACGCTCTCCATGTACTTTATCGTGCTCGTACCGAACGAAGGCTTCTTTGACCTCGAGCCGATCTACTCGAAAGAGTTTAGCCAAACCGCGTTCTTCCTCTCGGCGCTGCAGTTTGGCATTGCGTTTGCGGTCCTCCTCTTCATGTCCGTGCGCTACTGCAAGAAGATGCATTTCCGCCTCGACCGCGTCCAGGCGTACTTGGCCGAGATCGCAAGCGAAGTCATCGAGCGCGAGGACGACGATACAAGTGGCGACGCTACAAAGCCTACCAAGAAAATCAAGAAGCCCCCACCGTCCGTCGTCTCTCTTCTCTTCCTCTGCTACAACGACGGCATTGCCACAGACGACGAGGCCAACGCCACCTTTCGACGCCACCTCTACTATGCACAGATCGCCGTCAACGTGTGCGTTGCGTCGCCGTTCTTTGTTCTCTGGACGTGGGGCTTCACGGCCATTTCGACCGTGCAGCCACCGGCCGTGGGCTTTTTCCTCATTTTTATTGGCTCTGGCGTCCTTGTCGGCTACTACGGCTTGCGCAAGTGGACGCAAATGGGCTGGCGCATGACCAAGGAGGTGCGCGTGACCTTAGGCCTCGCGTGCATTTGTGGTTTCCTCTTCCTTTTTTCGTCCATCTTTGCCGACCCCAAAGTGTTTCTCGGCGGCGCCAACGTCGACTTTTTCTCGCTCACAGCGTTCTTTCTCTCGCTCAATATGATGCCAATGATATGGCTCGTGTTTACGAACGACGACCAGTTGAGCAAATCCCTCGCGCAAGTCCTCGCGGTCGTCACGATTTCAAAAAAGCACACGAGCGCGCTGAAAAAAGCCACCGCCAAGCACCTCGGGGACGCGTCCGTCAAGCTCGCCGCTGCCTCGGACGCACTCAAGCACGACCGCGGCGTCAAGCCACTCTCGGCCTTTGACGCGCTTCTCGGTGCCCATTATTCGGTCGCCCGCACCATCCCCGGGTTTGAGCTCGCGGATATCCTCCAAAACGCCTTTGTGACGCCGCCCGAGCACCAAAAGCGCACTAATCGTCGCTGCTATGCCCTCGCCCTCGGCATTCTTCTCATTTACACCATCGTGGCCGTCTTCCGGAGCGCCTACCCGACCCAAGGCATCGGAATCTTTTTTACGATCTTCATCCTTGACGCCACGTTCCTTCTTGTGTGGCGGGGCCAGCTCTCGTGGTCCGCAGGGTACATTTCGCTGCTGCTTGGGCTCTGTCGTGTCGCTCTCGTCGTCTCGTGCGGCACGTACTGGCTCCTCGGACAAACCATGGCATTTTCGATCATCGGATCGGCGCTCTGTCGGGAGATCATTGGCCGCAACCTTCCTCGCATGGGCGCGCGCGAAGCCGGCGGGATCACGTTCTTTGGCCACGACGGCTCTAAGCCGCCGCTGCTGGATTTGAGTGCGACACCCGAGTTTGGTCTTGGGTTTCTATCGTTCTTCTTCTTGTTCTTGCTCGTCGGCGTTGCGTTCACGGCAACGACGACGGTGACGCTGCCGATAATCGGGCAGCGCTGGCCGCTCTACGTCTTTGGTGTCCTTGCGTTCGTGCTCGTGCTCTTCTCAGGCCTCGTACTCGCGTCGTCGCGCGCGTTCTACTTGATGAAGCAGCACCTCCTCTCGGAGCACGGCGCCAACGTGTACTTGGGTGTCCCAGGCTTCAAGCTGCCGTTCGTTCTCGCAGCGGGCTCGGAGCTGCTGGTCGTGTGCTCGGGGCTTTTCCTCTTTGCAGCGACGCAATCGACGTTTGTCCTTTTGACATCGGTGTTTTTACCCGTTCTTCTCATGCTTGGCACGGTGGTGTGGGCGCAGTGGCGCCGAAACGACCACCGACTCGTCGTGTGGCCACCCGAAGACGGCGACGACGACGACATGGACGACGATGCGTTCGATGAGGAAGCCGAGTTTGCAAAGGAGGCGGACGCACTCCGGTCGGCGTTTGTGCTGCCGTCGCTCCAAGCGTCGGCGCCCGGCACCGAGTTCAAAATGCCACCATTGCCCGTACTCAAAGGCAGTGCGCTTCTGGGACTCGGCGGTGCCGCTTCGTCAGTCTTGCAACTCGCGGGCCAGACCGCTGAGAGCAGCAAACCAGATGACGATGACAAGAACAACCAAAAGACATCTGGCGTCGACGATGATGACGAGCTGGAGGCTGCGGCCAAGGAAGCCGATATCGCTGATACCCCGCCAGTCCCTGCTGCTGTCGATGAAGATGGAAACCCAACGATGCGTGATATCGAGATCCTCGACGCGCCGCCAGCGCCGAGCACGACTACGGTCGTGGCGCCGCCGCGCCAGTCGTGCTGTGCGCGGCTTCGGACCTCCATAGCCAACGCCCGCAGCTTTTTGGCTCACCCATGGAAAAAGTACTCGGTTGTGCCCACGGCCGAGGTCGACTTTGAAAAAATGAGCGTCATCGACGCCTACCGGGGCGGCTACTTGTTGGAAGACGAGTACCAGACGCTGCACTGCTTTGCTGGCCTACTCGGCGGTATCTTCCTCTACGGATTCTGCGCCACGTTCACGGAAGCACCGCCGTGGATTGGCGAGGCCATCTGGGTCGGGTCGTATATTGTCATCTTCTCCGTATCGCCCGTCTTCAAGTGGTACCATGTTGTTGAGATCACGTCGGACATTCGCGCTAGTGCCCGTTTCTCGTACGGACTCGCGTGGGTCTTGGGTATCGCGCTCTTTGTGGATGTGCTCGAGCTCGACGTCAACGACGTGCAGTCGCTCTGGATCCTCGTGGTCCTTATTTTCTACCCGCTCACACTGCTCTTCATCGTCGCTGTCTTCAAGTGGCACGATGATAATTGGGTGCTCTCGCCGTTTGTGCGATCAGCTCTCATCACGTGCGCGGGTTGGTCCGTCCTCTTCCTTTTTATCATGTTCATCTGGGCATCGATCCCGATCGGCGGCGCCTTTGCATTCCTCATGACAACGTTCAGCGTTGTCGTCTATTTTCTACTGCAGTGGGTCCGGAACGACTACTACCTCGCCCCCCTCGCGCAGCGCCGCGCCAATCAGCTTGTCGTGGGCACGGCCGTGTTCTTTATCGCGCTCGCACTCTTCTTTGGCGTCAACTTGTTTTACTGCTTCTCGATTAGCATCATTGTCATTTTGCTCAAACTTGGCGTCAACGGCGTCGCGATCAAGCTCTGCCGTGAGCCCGACCTCCAAATCTTCTACTCGCCCTATGTGTTTCCGATATTTTCGTACAATGCGACGACCAACAACGTCAACAACGAAAACCAGGAGGCCGCCAACGTCTACAAGGCGCTCGGCGTCGTCTTTGCGTGGGGCTGCGTCGGTGTTATGTTTACGGACCCACTCGGCTTTGGTATTGGCCTTTGCTCGCTCGCGCTTCTCGCGTTCGTCGGGTTCACCGCACACCTGTGCTCGATCACGCCCGTACGCATGGGCCTTGCGACCAAGTACGTCCACGAAGCGATTCTGCACGAAGCAGCGACCGTCGCCAAAGAGGTATTTGCCGACCGCCGACGACCCCTCGTGCTCGAGTCGGACGAGTTCCTCGAGCGCGAGAAAAAAGAAAAGGAAGCCGAGCTCGAGTACCAGCGACTATCGTACGGCAAGCAAAAATCGGCGCAGCTTGCTGCCGCAATGGCCGCCGAAGCCAATGCGGCGCCACCCACTCGGCTCTCAGCTGCCGACAATGCCCTCACGATCCACGAGACGCTGTGGCAGTGCAGTCACCGTGTTACGACCAAGGGCCGCACCATACGCCGCCGAGACGCGCTCTTTACGCTGCGTGAGATCCTCGTCGATGTGCTTCGTGATGGCAAAGGGCCATTCGGCTACATTGGCCTGTTTGGGTACGCGTACAAGGCGTATGTACATACCAAAGCCCACCGATATACGCAGCGGGTGTTGCGCCTCCTGCCCGACCGCAAACGTCTCAATCTGCGCCGACCGATCCCAATGCCATTCGCGGCCACGGCGTCCGAGGAGCACGAGATTGTCTTGCCGCCCTTAGCGGGCGATGACGACGACGACGTGGAGGCACCTGGGACAGAAGACACGTTGTCGCTATTGCGGTCACTGCCGGGTCGGGACGTGGCGCTCGATGCCGAGTTTTTCGAAGAGACGCGCTGTATCATTCACTTTCAGCTTCTCCTTCTTAACGCTGCCGATGCGCGCTTGAGCCGCGAACGTGTCTTGTTTCAGAAGTTTTTACGCGAGAACCGGTTCAAACTCATGTCCAACGGAATCAACCCGCCGGCCGATATTTTCAAGACGTCGTCGCACGCGTCGATCGACATTCCGCTCGTGGCCACGTGGCTCATGTCGTTGACGCCCGAAGAGCGCGCGCGCTTCCACGCGCTAAAAGCCGCCTTTTCGCAGGAGATGGACCGCAAGGACGCCGTGATTGACGCCGAAGACGCTGCGGCGCGGGCCCGCGAAGCCGACGTACGCAGCTACTGGTCGCCCCACGAAGCCAACATGTGCCGCAAGATGTACGAGGAGAGCGTCGCACGGCGCACTCGGCGCGAGAACGAAGGCATTGCCGTCGAGACCGGTGTGCCCGAGGCCATCATCAACGCGCGCGAGGCCCTCGCAGAGATCGAGTCGGGCTACGCGTGCATTGTCGGGCAGTTTGGCCGGTCTCTGCAGTTTGTGGATCCGGAATTTCCGCCGGCATACGCGTCGCTGGCCGGGTGCATCAATGAAGCTGAGATCGTCGACTGGCGCGTCTCGACGGGTATCAACATCACTGCCGGTCTCTTTGACGGCGGGACGGACCCGGACGACGTGCGGTTTGGGCGACTCCACGACGGGTGGTTCCTCAGCGCTGTGAGCATCATTGCCGCGTCCGACGGTGTCGACGACGGCAAGGTGGACGCACTCATCGACAACTTGTTCATTACAAAGCAAACGTCGCTCACGGGCGCGTACGCGATCCGGTTTTTCAAAAACTCGCAGTGGGAAACCGTCATTGTCGACGACTACTTTCCAGTCCTCGACGACACGCACAAAATGGACATCAGTGGCGGCGCGGCCTTTGCCCACAGTGCGCACTTTGAAGAGCTCTGGGTGCCTCTTCTTGAGAAGGCATACGCGAAATACCACGGTGGGTACGCAGCGCTCGAGACCGGCTTTGTGCATCACGCGCTACGGGACCTCACGGGATTTGCGTCCGACGAGGTGTTTTTGGCCCAAGCGTCCCGCGGCGCGCGAAAAAAGACGCTCTGGAAGCAGCTTCTCTCGCACAAGCGCAATCGATTTCTGCTGGGCGCTGGTACCATCTCGAGCGATAACGCCGACCACGAGATCCTCGACACGGGCCTCGTCTTTGGTGCGTGCTACGTCATATACGACGTGCGTGAGATTGACGGCCACGAGCTCGTCAAGCTTCGGAATCCACCCGGCGACCATCCCGAGTGGCGCGGGGACTGGGGCGACGATTCGCCGCTTTGGACGCGCCGCCTCAAAAAGCATCTCGGCATCCGACCGGACGCCAACGACAATACGTTTTGGATGAGCTTTGACGACTTTTGCAACGCGTTCCGGTGCCTCTACATCTGCAAGTACTACGACCCCGCGAAATGGCTCACGCAAACGTTTCATGGCAACTGGTCGGTCAAGGCAGACACGGCCGGCGGCCTCCCGACGCGCCACAACCCCGACGGCGCTGTTGCAGCCAACCCGCATTTTGCGTTGTCGGTCTCGCGCCCAACAGAGGTGATCCTAACGATCACGCAAATCGACGAGAAAGGACTCGCGCCAGTGACTGTGCTCCCTATCGCAGTCTATATCGTGGCCGGCGCAATGGGCGACCGCGCCAGCCGTGTCAAAGAACTGACGCGCGACGTTGTCATCGAGCACAGCGGCCAGCCCGTCCGTGAGCGCCAACTCGTTTTGCGTTGCAACCTAGCGGCACGTACGTACACTGTGCTCGTGGCCGCCTACAAGGCGGGAATGGAGGGCCCGTTCCAAATGTCGCTTCAAACCAATTATGCGGTCGGTGTCGACCAGATCTGGCCCGCCGTGTGGCGTGAGCCCAAGAATCTGAACGCGGTCGAGAAGATGGCGCTTCGGGTCAAGGACGCTGTCGTCGACTCGAGTGCGGTGGCCAAGCTCGCCGAAACTACGACAAAGTACAAAAACAAGATCGTCGCGGGCGTCAACGACGTGCTCGAGGACGACGAGGACGACTTACACGAGCTCGAGGAGGCCAAAGTCGCCGAGGAGAAGGCCACCAAGAAGAACCCATGGGTCGAACAGTGGGACGACGCGCAAAACAAGCCCTTTTACTACAACAAGGAGACGGGCGTCTCGCAATGGACGATCCCGCCCGACATGTAAAGTCCGTAATATGAGAAGAATTCGTGATTCAAAGGCACTCGCTCTATTATTGGACAAGCTCGACACTCTTGCCGCTGGCCGCGGACCACTTGAGGAGTGCGGCGAGCATCGTCTGCGCGTCCGCCGAGCCCGTCACAAGCACTTGCTGGGCCTCGATGTCGCACGCCACCGACTTGACGCCTAGCACGGGCCATGAATGCGCAATCCTACATCGAGCGAATCGACGCACCGGGGATCTTCACGAGGATGCGTTCGCAGGCCGACGAGCAGCCGCCGCAGGTCATGCCGACCTTGAACTCCGTGACCACGTCTGACATCGTTTGTTGTCTGTCTTGTGCGGCGCTGGCCGATTTCAAAAATACCGACACGTCACCTTTCTAGCGTCACGACGTGATTGGCCGAAACTCGCGGTGCTGTATATATTTTTAGCCAATCACAAGGTACAACTCAGCGAACGGCACGCCAGACGCAATTGTTGATTTGTTTCTCACGTTGGGAGTGGTTTAGACCCTGCGTCAGCGATGGCAAGGGTATATAAATTATATACCCTTGGTGATGGTTTCTCATCGCACTCGATCACCATCCTTGCGCATTTAGATCTACTACAGTATGCATGCGAGCTACCAACAGTAAATGCTTGGTTCAAGTGGGCCTCTACGAGGTACGACAGGATTTATAGGACGCTAGGTAGCCAATAGATGCATAAGATGTGTGACAAACATGGCGTCGTGAACGACAATGGC